TAGCCTTGTAAAGAATGTCCTTGGCTATATTATCTAGGTTGTACTGCCTTTTCTCTTCCTTGGTCCATTCTGACCGGGCTTTCTCAATCATCTGGGGTTGAGAGTTGTCAATAGAGTGAGCAGGATTGATCTTCATGAACTGGATGAAGGGGCCATTTTCCAAGACTTCCCACATTTCATCATGAAGGGCACATAGATGTGCCTTCATTCTGATCTTCCAATCATCATATTTCTGATCTGTGAACATTAGATGCTTTGCAAGAGAGTTATCCATAATAACAACTAAATAGAGGCTGAGAACAAGTGGATCTTTGTTCAGAGAGTAACCTAAAAGATTACAAGAACAAGGAGGCTCTGATACCACTTGTTGGTCCCGTTTAATATGGTAATCAGTCTAGAGGGGGGGGGGGGTGAATAGACTGATTGGTTTTTCAACTTTTTCTCAAAGTCAAAACTGACTTATCAGAGAAGGTCTGATTCTGATGACAGAGAAAGGCTGGTTCTGATATCAGAACTGGCCTTGGCAGCGGATTCTGATCTGTCCGGGTAGCCTCAGAAACACTAAGGCAATTGCCTTTCTGATAACTCTGAAAACAAGATCTGCTGATCACAGATTCCAAGTCTTAGAGTTAATCAGTTAATATCCTAAGTGCAGAAATATAAATTGCAGTAAAATAAATGACACCGGATATTTTTATAGTGGTTCAAGGAACAACTCGTTCCTCTAGTCCACTGTTCCACTAGCTTTGAAGTAGATCGGTTACAAAGCTAAATCCTAGCACTCAAGAAGCACTCCTCGTCTTCTTCAAGCCTAGATGCCACCCAGGATGCAGTTCCACGTCCTGATGGCTGATCCTTTCACTCAGCTTCCCGGAAGTATCACCACTTCACTACTGCAGTTACTTGGACGCCCTTCTTTTCAGAAGATCCTTTTGAAAAACAGAGTTTTTCCTCCAACTTGCTTCGTTACAAATGATGTTTGATGAAGTTCTTGAAGTGTTGAAGAACAGGATGAACTTTGCTTGTTTGTTGGGGATGAGAGATTTGGAGTTTGAATCTTCCCAACGTAAGCTTGTCTTGTTGAAGGTTGTAGAATTTGAATCTCAAGAGAGCTTGAATGATGATGTGTAAGAGTTGTAGCAAAGTTATTTTTCAGTTCTTCGGTGTGTAGCTTATATACTGAGGTTGTCTACCCGTTGGAGGAGGAGACAACTGCATTAAATGCGCGTACAGTTGACTTGACCGCCGTTTTTGGAAGGTTTCTATTTTTAAAATATATCTTCCCGGATTCCTTGGTCAATCATTTGCAATCAATCCTTCAGCGTATCAGGCTCATTTAATGTGCATTAAATGCTTTCCTTTCAGGCACAGTCTTCTAGCCGTTGGATGTTTTTACCCGTTGAATTCATAGCTGTTGGATGTTGCTTGAAAACGTCTGAGTGTTCGTCGAGCTCTGATCAGGTTCTTCTGATATGTTGGATTCTGATGGCTATCTGATGAGTTGAGTTCTGATGGTCTTCTGATCTCTGACTGAACTCTGACTCTGATAGATCCGCTGATGAGTGCTTCTGATCTGTAGTTCTCATCGGATATCAGATGTCTAGGCTTATCAGCAACTCTCATGATGCACCTCTGATGGACTTCCGGTAAGAGAACTCTGATGGAGCAGTTCTCATAGAGCAAGTCTGGTCGAGCAGTTCTGATGCACTTCTGATCTGATCCAAAATAGAGCAACTCTGATCGTCGACTACACTAATACTTACAATTGAAAAGTCTAATACATAAAATCTAATTTGGGGGTACTCTAACTTTCTAATCTTATAGCATCATCAAAATCTAATTACATTTATTCCTTACACCAAGTCTCCTTCTCATTAATTAAACCACATAACTCGTTCATCTTCGTATTTAATTAAATTAAATCACTCAAACCTAACCCCCCCTTTGGTTACTAGTTAATTAAAAAGAGAAATATTTCTTTCCCTGTGGATACGAACCTTACTTCATTTTACTACGTATAATTGTTGTATTGTATTATTATTTTGAGTGCACACCGCGACAAAGTGCACGTCAATCTCACTTAAGAATAGTATTTGATCGCTTGAGGAAGTTTGGTCTCAAAATGAACTCTCTGAAGTGTGCTTTTGGAGTTTCGGCTGAGAAGTTCTTGGGATTTATTGTTCGTCACAAAGGCATTGAGATAGAACAAACCATGATTGACGCTATTGTGAATATGCCTGAGCCTCGGAACATTCATGAGTTGAAGAGTTTGCAAGGGAAATTGGCTTATATACGAAGGTTCATCTCGAACTTATCGGGGAGATGTCAGCCGTTTAGTCGAATTATGAAGAAAGGTGTGCCTTTCATATGGGACCAATCATGTCAGAATGCGTTTGATAATATCAAGGCTTATTTGATGAAACCACCGGTTCTAAATGCACCCGTCGTTGGTCGCTCTTTGATACTCTACATTGCAGCTCAAGAAAGGTCTTTGGGAGCTCTATTAGCTCAAGAAAATGATAAAGGGAAAGAAAATGCCCTTTATTATTTAAGCAGAATGATGACCCCACATGATATGAAGTACTTGCCCATTGAGAAGTTATGTTTAGCCCTCATATTTGCAATCAAGAAGCTTAAACACTACTTTAAAGCTCACACGATAAATCTTGTCTCTAGGGCGAATCCACTGAAGTATGTGATGTCTAAAGTGGTCCTATCTGATCGTCTTGCCAGATGGTATTTGATATTTCAACAGTTTGAGATTGTCTATGTCTCACAAAAGTCTATAAAAGGACAAGCTTTGGTAGATTTCTTAGTTGATCACCCTATCCCTGCTGAGTGGGAACTTTCTGATGATCTACCCGATGAAGATGTGCTTATAATTGAAGTTTTTGCCTCCATGGAAGATGTATTTCGATGGAGCTGCACATAGAGAAGGTGCTGGAGCTGGTGTTGTATTTGTTAAACCCGAAGGTCAAGTTCTGTCCTATGCTTTCACGCTTACGGAACAATGCTCCAATAACGTCGCTGAGTATCAAGCACTCATCCTCGGACTTGAAACAGCTGTAGGCATGAAGCAAACACGAGTTAATATCTATGGCGATTCAAAACTAATCATCAATCAAGTACTTGGGATTTATGAGGTGAAGAAGCCTGAACTACATCCTTACAACAGATATGCAACGGTACTCATAGGGTAGCTTGGTGAAGTTACAATTGAACACGTGCCAAGAAAAGAAAACAAGCAAGCTGATGCACTGGCAGGGTTAGCATCAAGCATGACACATCTTGACGATGAGACTCAAGTAAGGGTATGTCAAAAATGGGTAATTCCCCCTTTCATCGGTGAAGATGGTTTAGCCGAAGAAATAATCAAGATGCCGACTACCTCGGTCTATGATATTGAAAATGAAGATAGGAGACAACCACTCATTGATTATCTTACTGATGGGAAGTTACCTAAAAACCCTCGCAAGAAAGTGGACCTAAAGAGGCGTTCACCACGTTTCATCTACTGTAAAGATACACTTTATCGAAGATCTTTCGATGGTGTATTCCTTAGATGTTTGGGTGGAGATGAAGTCTTACAAGAAATGGAAGAGGCACATTCCGGAGTATGTGGAGCTCATCAGTCTGGTCCTAAATTGCACTTTCACATCAAGAGGATGGGATATTACTGGCCGACTATGGTGAAGGATTGCATGGATTATGCTCGGCGATGTCAAGCATGCCAATATCATGCAAATGTTATCCATCAAGCACCTGAACCATTGCATCCGACAGTAGCATCATGGCCGTTTGACGCTTGGGGACTTGTTGTAGTTAGACCAATCACGCCTAGCTCATCAGGATGGCATTCATACATACTAGCCGCTACTGATTATTTCTCAAAATGGGTTGAAGCAGTTGCATTGAAAGAGGTAAAGAAGGAAAATGTTGCTGATTTCATCCGAGTCCATATTGTTTACCGCTTCGGCATTCCCCGATATATCTTGACAGACAATGGGAAACCTTTTGACAACAAGTTGATGGACAAGATATGCAAGTTGTTCGACTTCAAGCAACGAAAGTCCTCTATGTACTATGATGCCGCCAACGGCCTCGCTGAAGCTTTCAACAAGACTCTGTGCAACCTGTTAAAGAAAGTAGTGTCAAGATCAAAGAAAGATTGGCACGAAAGAATGGAAGAAGCACTATGGGCATATAGAACGACTTATCGCACACCTACCCAAAGTACTCCATATTCTTTGGTGTATGGTACTGAAGCAGTCCTTCCCCTTGAACGCCAAATACCATTTTTAAGATTGGCTATTCAAGAAGGGCTTACTGATGAAGAAAATGCAAAGTTGCGGTTGACAGAACTTGAGGCACTTGATGGAATGAGGTTAGAAGCTCAACAGAACTTAGAATGCTATCAAGCACGTTTGTCAAGATCTTTTAACAAGAAAGTTAGAATTCGTTCCTTCCAAGTTGGTGATAAAGTTCTAGTCGTGCGAAGACCTATCATTATTACAAGGAAAACTGGACACAAGTTCTCGCCCAAATGGGATGGTCCTTATGTTATTCAAGAAGTATATTCAGGCGGTGCCTACAAGTTGGTCGATGCAGATGGCTTAAAGATTGGCCGATCAATGGAAGGTTTCTAAAGCTCTACTACCCTTGATATATGGGGTATAAATATGGCCATAGGGAATGTTGAATGGCTTAAACCACCAATGATGGTGTAAGTGGCTAAACTGCTAAAACATCTCACTTTATCTATGGGTGAGCATAATCATAGATACTCTTGGCCCACGAGAGTTTAAAATGTGTACGGCAAGCTCCTGGCCCGCATGAGTTAAAACTGTGTACGACACCCCACCCCTTTAGATTACCTATTCAAATGGTACTATGAACTACGTTTGACTTGATCTCCTTCATGGGAGTACGTAGGCAGCTCAAAAGTTTCATTTTTGAGTTGAGTTATAACAACACAAACCCCAATAAAGTTTGATGTTAGTCATTGAAAAAGAAGCAAGGCGATATGAACTCATGAGAAGCAAGAAAGGAAGAAAAATATCCATATATAGTTTGATGGAAAGAAAAAAAGGAAAATGCTAGCTGACTAAAAATTAATCTATAAACAAGTAAAAACAAACTCAGCCTAAAACCAATTTAAAACTGACTAAGTCATCCTTCAAAGCCTCTAGCTCCTTCTGGGTACTTAAAGCAAGTTGATCTTCGTCTGATGCTTTGATAGTCTTCAAAATCCGTGAAGATTCCTCCTTGGCCTTCGTAAGAGCTGCATCCAAGTCACTAGCCTCTGCATGACGCTGGGAAATCAAAACTTCTACTTCCTTAGCTTCAGCTTCCAATAAGGCTATCTTCTTCTTGATTTCATTAAGAGATTTCTCATCATCAAGTAATGCGACTTGATTTTGAGATCTCTTAGCTTCAATATCTGCACAAAAAGCTTGTGACATAGCCAATTCCCGAGACTGGTTCTCCGTAGGGACCCTGTCAGCAACAGTCGAGCACTTTTGATCAAATGCTTGTGCTCTTTCAAAGAAATTCTTCACTCTTGTCTTCAACATGGAAAGGTCAATACTGTCCTTCTCCATCAGGATAACACAACTCTGAACATCCTCTCGAAGAGAAGAGACGTTCTATGCTATAGCCTTTTCTAACTTCATTTGAATACCGCCCCATGTGTCAATGAGGAACCGCTTATACAAAGTAAAGAAGTAGTTCTCTGCTTGAAAAACAGATACAGCCGGTCTCGCACGAGGGGATTTCGGTATCTCGTTGGTTGGAACTTCTTTGCAATTACTTGGGGCAGCTTTTTCCATCAACCATGCGACAGTGTCATGATCATCAGTTTCTCCTCCACTTGAGCTAGATGAAGAAACATGATTTGAAGAACTAGCATCATCAAGGATTGAATGAATCTGCAAAAGAAGGAAGAAAATATGAGTCCAAGCTTTAGATTAAGTTAAATTGTTAAATAATGAAACTAACCCTCAGTGGCCCGGGATGAGGTTTTCTCTGAAGATGCTTCCAATTCCTATCATCGTTACTTTGCTTCTCAAGAACTTGATTCTCACTCACCTTGGCAGGAGGTGTTTCTTTCTCAGCATCCTTGATCAAAACTTTAGCCCTAGGTGCGGCAAGCTTAGCCTTTTTCTGGGGCAAAGACTTAGCTTCAGTATCAAATACCTTCTTATTATTCTTGGAGACTGGAGTCATGGGATCCGAAGGGGAGATCACATCACCAACAGCAAGATCGCAAATCCTGATCAAGTCACTCACATGATTCTCGAGATAGTTACCATGAACTTGATTCCACCATTCTTTATACTCCAAGGAATAATACTTTGCCGGAATAGTCGGAGGAGTTGGAAACACTGCTTTCACCACAGACAAGCCATGCTCAAACTGCAGCCAAAATCGAGATCCATCGGAAAGTGTAACACGTCGGTTATGCCTCTCAAGAAAACCAGGCACATAAGCTTGAAAGTACCCGAACTGACGACTAAAGCGATGAGGAGTGTAGGGCTCGGTGATACAATGATTTTGATGGCGTAATATGAGGTGATTACACCGAAGACTCCTAAAAAGTGCCAACTCAAATCCCGGAGGATTATCTCCATCAAAGAATGTATACTCTTTCATTCTCCGATGCGTAGAACACACCCATGCTGATACATCTCCCTGGAAAATTCTCCTGCGTGCAGCTCTCTTTTCAAGGGATCTCGCTCCACCTTCTCCCGAATAAGAAATCATCGATGGCATCGTAGACTGAATCTCATTCTTAAAATGTGTATCAAAGTATGATGCCAGCCACCCATAAACATAGTGAGCAGGAAAGCACGTTCTAACTTGATAAGGAGTTGGAGCATTCGAGATCTGATTGAGTCCATGATAAATACTAGCAAGGACTGGGACTGCAATACATATCCGCTTCCATTGAGCCATCATGCAAGCAACTTTAAAAGTTTCTGGGCGAATAGCTCTAGGACCTTCATGCGGCAAGACGAATACACAAAGCCAACATGATAAAAATGATGCCAAGTAGATCTCTTCCTCATACTCAGCAGGAATCTTCAAAACATCAAAAGGTACCCTCGTAGAAGTCGACCACCCTCCAAATTTTGGAATAGCTCCACTCGGATTATGGGTCGCCTTAGCACGAGATGTTCGTTTCTTTTCGGTTCTCAATGGAGGCATGGTATATTTGGAGGCCTTCTTGAACCGGAATTTGACCCACGAATGGACACACAAAACACATTTATCTTCGATTTTCGGAAGAAGATGATGGTATGCGTGAAGCAAATATTTGCAAAGATGAAGTTAACGGTCATTGCTCTTATCTAGCAAATCAGAAGCACTGGGAATAGATTCATCATATGCATCTCCTATGATGGGCAATCCTCCGATAATGTGTAAGTCCCAAAGTGTGATCGTCAACTCGCTAATTGACGTAAGGAAAGTATTCGTTGTCGGACACCACGCCTCGCAGAATGCTTGCATAGCATTCATTCACCGATCATACGTGAACAAAGGGGCATAAATGACATCATAAATAAGCCCCTCCTCCAGAACGTTTTTACTCATACTCAAAATGTCTTCGGCCCAATCCCAATAACATGTGACGAATCTAAACTCGCCACCAAGTAATAAGGTCTTTGTCAAAGGGAGGTTTTCATCAATGATACGTCTACCCAAAGAAGGAAGGATCGTAGAAGATGACTTGTGAGGAAAGCCAGATACTAAAGTCCGCATTGTTTGAGCTTGATACTTGCACTCGGGAGTCCAGTCCGTGATTCGGTATGAAACAACAGTTGCGCCCCAAAACTCGCGAGCAAATGGCTTATACACCTCTAAGAGAATCTCATCGTCGCTCTTCTTGCTTGTTGATACAGAGAGATACTTTTTGCTTCCATGTTTTACGTCTCTAAAATGTATCATCTTGTACTGCAAAAAACAAGTCATTATTATTATTATTATTATTATTATTATTATTATTATTATTATTATTATTATTATTATTATTATTATTATTATTATTATTATTATTATTATTATTATTATTATTATTATTATTATTATTATTATTATTATTATTATTATTATTATTATTATTATTATTATTATTATTATTATTATAATTATTATAATTATAATTATTATTATTATTATATGTAATAAAATAATAATAATAATAATTAATAATATAGAAAAAGGCAGCTCGGAGGTGATAAATAATCTCAGGCCGAACAATTAATTCCCCCAGTAAACTCAAAAGCAGTTTCTTTGTTCTCCTCTAATCACCATATTCGGACAAAACTACAAATCCTTTTGCCTTGACTCTTGATCGCAGCAACCCTCCTCATTTTTCCCCATACGGAAGCACAAAGGCAACAACAATCCACCAATCAGACTCAGCAAATGCACAAGAGATCATCAGAGTAACCTTTTTTGTTGATACTTAATGGGAGAAGGCTCTGTCTACTGTTCACCTTCGGAAATTAATCTCGAACTCAACTTTCGAGTTCCGACTGCGCAAACCATCTTCTTGAATCAAGTAACATATTTAGCTTTGGGTAGTCTGCTATGAATTAGCTCTTTCGATGTCCTTTTCTTTGAACGACCTGCGTCAGAACTAGGCGCCTTCAGCATGTTTTTGGCAGCCTGCTATGGGTTAACTCCTTCGATGTCATCTTCTTTGAACGACCTGCGCACCTTCAGCATTTTCTTCTTTGGGCAGCCTGCCATGGATGGAATCTTTCATTGTTCTCTTCTTTGGGCACCTTGCTATGGATGGAATTCTTCATTTTTTTTCTCTTCTTTGGGCAGCCTGCTATGGAATGGATCGGAACCCTTCGTTGCCTTCTTCTTCAAACGAATTGGCACCTTCTTGGCTAACGAGTAGTGACGGCAAGTTTGAATGAACAGGACAATGGCTTCTTCAAAGTTCTGATAGTGTCAGCCGGTGTGGAAATCTGATCACCTGCTTCTAGACAATCGACGGACCTCACACTCTGCTTTAACCTTCTTGGATCGGCTCTGAACCGCTGCATTAATAAAATTCCGGTTGGCAAACCTCCGGATGGCCGCAGGAGAAGTTTGCAGGACCAAGTGACTAACCGCGACAATTCTGGAAGGATTCTATTCTGCTCATCGTTTGAAGCTTAATCTGCGAACCAGCATCATCTCAAGCGGCAATAAATTAGCTTCGATCATCAACTAGTGACACCAACCGGCAAAGGACCTCAATCGTTCTACAGATGGCCACAACTTCAATTGTTGTTTAGCAGACGTTTATCTCGAAAACCTGCGATACGACCACAGAAAAGATAGTTTAAAAACAAAAAGGGAAAGCAAAGAAATTATACCTATTGGAATCTGGCCGAGCTCTTAGGCGGAAGAAAAAAAAAGCAGCAGTGCCTTCACCGTTTCGCATATGCAGAAAACGAAGTATCAGCTGATATTTATAGATGTTAAACAAGAGTTTGAGATCCGATTAATGCGATAAATCAAAGTCCTTATAGAATACAAATTTAAGGACTTGGTATTAGACTCATCTTAAGAGATACGTTAATACTTAAGATATTACCCTAAATAGGAGAAAAACAATTAAAAAATTCCAAAATAGGAGTTCTTATTTATTTATGCCCTAAATAGGAGCTTTCCAATTGATATCCGTTTCTTTTTCCAGATTTACCCTCCCAATATTAATAGTCACGTACCACTCACGCACGCACATGGTCTCTTTGCCTGCCATCCTTCCATATTAGCTGTCAGTACTGTTCACACTCATCATAAAGGCACATGGGTGATAGGTCTCTCCTGTCCCATATCTTCCATCACACATCTTTACAAAATTACGCCCCTCTTTGCTGCGGATTTCTTAGGCGGAGGCAATACTCACCATCACCGGCGGCAAACTCAAGTCCAAAATCGGCGGATGACGGCGACTATGATAGGTGAGCTTTGATTTATTCTCCTCTTCCTCTTTTTCTCCTTCTTCCCATCTTTTGCTTTACTCGACTGCAGATCCATCGCTTCCTGATTTTGTAGCTTGAAACTCATATTTTCTCACTTTTCTTTTGTCCGAATTTGGAATGTATTTTTTGTTTTCCTTCTTTTTCTTTTCATATCCAAATCTATCAAGCTTTATTTGCTTTCGTCTCCTTTTCAATTCTCTTTAAACTTTACTTTCACTTTTTTGTTCTTTTAACTTTTTATTTTCTTTTACATTAAGTTAATACGAAGTAGTTTTTTACATTCATGTCAATCAACTTTTTTAATCCTACAAATTAGTTTTATGATTTGAATTCTAAATTTCTATAATCGTTGTTACCTTTATGACATTAAAATTAAAATATTATTCTTTTGCAAATAAAATACTATAATGACATGTGTTTCCATGTGGGAATAATATTTTGACATTTATTGTCATGTTTATGGCACTAATTCCGTAAAGATAGCAAATTAATTTCATGTGAAAAATACAATACAAATAATCTTATTTTTCGTATGAAAATTAATTTTCATTTTGACAAATAATGTCATTTATAGACACTTACTCTTTAAGAATGGCAATATTATTAGTTACAAATAAAGTACAATAGTGTCATGTTTTCCCTATGGAAAGTGTTATTTAGACACTTAGTGACATTTTTATGACATTAATTTCCTTAAGAGATGACAATATTAGTCATTTGTAAATATAGCACTAGTGCCATCTTTATGCCACTAGTTTTTATCAAGATGGGAGATTTTGTTATTTTCTGAAATACTTCTCATTTTTGTATTTCCAGATCTGAAATTAGTGGTTGTAAAGACAAAGATGGTGGGGTGCTCCAAGAGGTGTGCCACCATATAAAGAAGTAGCGGCGCAGGATTCTGGGGCTGATGAGATGGTGAGGCGGTGATGCAGATGGTGACATTACTAACAGCGGAGGCATCTGGCAACTGTGCCGTTGCCGGCAGCCATGGAGATTGCTGTTTCTGCAGCATCTGAGGCACAGGAGATCGGCGGCGGCGACTGGCGGCGGCAACTGACTAGCCACCGGCGGTGGCTGCCGGTGACGATTGCGGTGGTGGCTGGTGCTGGGTGATGGAAGCAGTAACTTGCAGCTGGTGTGGATGTGAGAGAAACGAACAACCATTAGCTTTTAGTTCATGATGTATTTTACGAGAATATAGATACTCCGTATTAATGAGATGTATTCATTAAGGGTACTTTTGTCAGTCCAATCCTTTTTACTCCTATGAAACTATGCGGATAAGTGAGCTCCTAGTTTTGCACTTTAGTTATTTTTTACTCCTAGATAGGGAATTAACTCTTAATACTTCGGGAATGGGTAATTCTAAATACAAACCAAGTTTTGATAAATACAGTACTAATTTAATTAAATGTCTGATTATATCCCTATTATTCGCCAGCTGAATTCGTATTTCAGTCTGTGCTTAGCTTGAATGATGACTGGTGAAAACTGAATTTGAATCCACCACCTGAAGTTATAATGGTTTGGTGTAAAATGGCCGCACCAACCATTTTCAACTGAACGAAGGCCATCTCCTTTCCCAAACACGTTCTTGGTCCGGCGATAAACGCCGGGAACTTGTATGACGGCTCAAGCTTGACCCCGCTGCCGGCTTTTCCGGAAATCCATCTCTCCAGCAACTCCATGCAGCCCTCACTCCACACTGCCTCCAACTTCCCCGTCGAGTAGACAAAATCTATCACTCTGGTGTTGGGCTTCACCCGGTGGCCGCTGGGCAGAACGTCATCCCCCGCCAACACCTTGTGCTCAAGAGCCACCGGCGGTAATAGTCGGATCGATTCGCCCAGAGCTCCATGGAGGTACACCAGTTTCTGACAGTTTACATCCTAAAAAACTTCAACGCGACGGCGAGTTGTATAATTTTTATCTCTCGCCGGACCTTTTCTTGAACCGTCGGATTCCAGTTTAGAAGGTAGAAAAGCCAGGTCAAGGTGGTGCTCCCACTTTACCATTCGAAGGAAATCATAGACAGAGAGGGGTCCGGGGAGGAGAAAAAGAACTGGGAGGAGAAAAAGAACAAGCATACAAAATATACGTTAAATAAAACGGGGCGGAAATGTACTGACCTTATATAAGAAACCCGCGTTAATGATATTGGACCTGAAGCTGTTTTTTTCACTTTGTTCCTATCTCTTCTACTTGCTCAAACCTTTCCCAGTTGATGTATATGTATTTTTTTTATAGTGGCTAGCCGCATGTATGTTTATGAAGTTTTGAGATAAGTAAGGGTACATATATATAGCCTTTATCATCCATCTGTATGGTAGAGGAAATGCTTGGTAGACATAATTATTGTAGGTTTATATGCACTAGTTTGTAGTGCATAAATATATGTTTTTATATTTATTCTGTGTGGATTGTTTACCGTTTTTAGTTAGTTTGTAAGCATTTGTTTTGTCGTGTTTGTAAATGTTTGTAGCTTCCATTTATAGTTGTAAAATAGTGTTGGAGCTTTTTGGCAAGGAAAAAGGAGAAAAGTCAACAGGAATGCTGCCCAGGGAGATCCACCCGACCGGGTAGAAATCATCACCCGGTCGGGTCTGATTTGAAATCAGAACCTCACAAGAAAGAGCTAGACCCGATCGGGTCAAGTAATTCACCCGGTCGGGTCAAGTAATTCACCCGGTCGGGTCAGATGTGACCCGGGACATTTTAACGTGCTAAAACACAAGAACGTGGAAGATTATCTTATTTAGACATCCACCCGGTCGGGTAGGCACTTGACCCGGTCGGGTACCCGGCCCAGGGTGTTGAAAAACACCTATAAATAACACACTTTTCCTTCACAAATAATCATCCCTTCTTCCATACTCTTAAGCTCAGTTTAGAATAGTATTTCTTTTATATTTTTATAGCATGTTTAGTCTCCAAATGAAGAGCTAAACTCTTCCATCTTGGTTT